CCGGCCCCGGCCCGACCTGTGAGCTCGGCGCTGGGCTCCTTGAGCAGCGGCACGAGGGCCTGGTACGTGTGCTCGTGCGCGGTGCCTGCGCGGCGCCCGCACGTCGGCACGCTGGCCACGGCCTCCCCGGGCCCCGGGGGGCTGCCCGCGGGACACCCACCAGGCGCTCCGAACTCCACGCGACACACGTAGTAGGGCCCGGGCGTCGGGAAGAACTTGCTGGCCCGTTCGCTCTGCGCCTTGGCCTGGAAGAGCAGCTTGGGGGTGCCCAGCGCGTCGCACAGGTCAATGACGACTGCGAGAGGCGGCGCGGGCGTGCGGAGCGGCCTGGCGGCACCGCGGCCCCCCCGGGCCCCGGCCGTGCTCGCTCACCGCCCGCGGGCACCGCCGCCTTCCTCCGCACGTAGGGCAGCAGCAGCAGCACGGGGCAGTCGGCGTTGGCCAGGAAGCGCTGGTTGTCTGTGGGGCGGCCGTGGTGCAGGGGTGGCCAAGGCCTGGGGGTGCCCGTGATGTGGCCCCTGTGTGCCCCGTGCCGCCACTCACCGCCGTGCCGCACGCAGATGAACATGGTGAAGAGGAGCCGAGGCCAAGCGCAGCTTTATTGCGGCCGCTCGCTGCGGGCGACGCGCGGGGCTGCCGGCGGCAGCGGGGCGCAGTGCGCGCTGCACAATGCACCCGTGCTCCGTGCAGTGCTGCATGCAGTGCTCCGCGCTCCATGCAGTGCTCCGTGCTCCATGCAGCACTCCATGCAGTGCTCCATGCAGTGCTCCGCGCTCCGCGCAGTGCTCCGTGCCCGGGCGGCAGCGGCGGGGCAGGCGGCGCGGGGCTCACACTGCCACGTAGCTGTTGTGCTGCGGGCCGCGCTCGGGGGCACCCGCGGGCGCTGCCGCGGGCCCCTCGCTGCCCTCCCAGGGCGGCTCGGCGCCCTCCTTGGCCGGCACCTCGCTCACGTGGCAGATGCTCTCGCTATAGTTGGGCTTGAAGCTCTCCACGACGTCCTTGGGGACGCCGGCCCATTCCTCCGGGAAAGAATGGGATGAGGGGGGATGGATCCGCCCAGCTCCCCCCGCGCCCACCCCCAAACCAGCCCCGCTGTTTACTTACCTGGAAGTTGCCTTTGTGCGTGATGAAGAGCTCGTCGAAGTTCTTGCTGGGATTGGGGATCCTGGGCATGAAGATGACCCAGACCCTGTGCGGGAGGCGCGTGTTGGAGCGGAAGGGTTGCCCTGCAGCGCTGCCCCCATCCCTGTGCCCACCCAGGCATTCACCTTTCCATGCGGACCAGCAGGACGATGAGCACCAGCATGAGCAGGGAGGAGATGACGGGGATGAAGACGGTGTGGATCCAGAGCCAGTGCTCCCCCGGGGCACCTGCAAGGAGCTGCGGTGATGCGGGCCCCGCCGGAGGACCAGGAAAGGAGCCGCTCCAGGTGCCCCACGGCCACCCGTGCATCCCAGCATCCCCGCACCGGAGCCATCCCGCTTTGCGGGTGGCTAAAGGTGCCTGGCACCACCAGCCGGGGTGCTGAACTCCGTGAGACGCAGCCCCCCGTGGGGCTGCCCTGCAGCGGTGCCCACCCTTGCCGGTGCCGTCGCTGCCCCACGCCACGGGCACGCTCCACTCGCTCCAGAGCCGCGTGCTGCCGCAGTAGCTGTTGACCTTGCTGCGCACGTAGAAGGTGTAGCTCTTCTCGTGATCCACGCTGGGCAGCGAGAAGATCTCCCTCTTCACGCCCAGCTCCTGCCGAGAGAGAACGGGACCGGGCGTGAGGGCGGGCGGGCGCGCGGGGGCACAGCCCGCCCGGGCGGCCCTCACCGTCCAGCTCGTGTCCTTGTTGCTCTTGTACTTGACGGCGTGCTCCAGGCACCAGGCCTTGGGGTAGGGCGAGCTCCAGCGCAGCTCCAGCTCGTTGCTGCTCAGGTTGCGCACGGTGAGGTTGACGGGCGCCTCGGGCTTCACTGCGGGACGCGGGCAGCACCGCCGCGTGAGCCGCGGCCCCCGGGGTGCCCCCCGCGCGCCCCCCGCGCCCCAATCCCCGCACCCAGGTCCTGCAGCTCCATGCGCTCGCTGGGGATCTCGCGGCTCTGGCCGCCCACGCTGGCGTTGACGCGCACGCGGAAGGGCTGGAACTGCACGAGCTCGCGGCCGGCGAAGCGGCAGCCCACGCGCACGCCGCGCTCCCGCACGTAGTGCTTGCACTCCGCCACGGGCGAGCGGTTCTCGTACCTGCGGCACGGGGCACGTCACCGCGGCGCCCGCCGCCGCCCCGCGCCCGCCGCGCCGCACCCACCAGTAGTAGAGGGAGTAGTTGGTGCTGAGCGTCTCGGCGGTGCCCCACGTGCAGGTCATGTACTCCTCGTTGAAGAGCACGCACTCCACCCCTGCGGGGACACGCGGCTCCTTGCAGCGCTCAGCTGCATCCCCTCGTGCCTCCACGGCACCGATGGATGTTCTGTGCATGAGGAAGGGGCTTTCCTGCCCTGCAGCTTCCCGGCCACGCGGGGCCCAAAGCAGCCGTGTGCAGGCAGCGCTGACGCCCGTTTGCTGCTGCCAGGGCCCAAAACCCAAAGTTTTTCCAGAGAGCCTCAACCGAAGCGTCTTCATCAGGTGGCTCCTCTTGCTGCATGTCTCCCGCCAGGTTTCCTCCCCATCCTGGCCATCCCCGCTGGCTGTCCCCATCCCGCTGCGGGCTGAGTCACGGCACGGGCGCAAAGGCCAAACTGCAGCTCACGAACCCCCTTCTCCACCTCCCTGCCTTGCAGGGAACCCGGCGGCGCCCACGCCGGGTGTCCCCACGTCACCTCCTGGCCCCCGGGGCTTGCAGGAGCCCCGTGCCCGCGCGGCCGGAGGTTGCTCCGCCGCCCCTTGGAGCGGACAGCGCCTGCACTCGCTCCGGGGAACATGGAGCCCCTGGGGAACGCGGAGCCCCCGGGTGCAGGGCGCCTTGGCGCGGGCAGGAAGCAGCCTGCGGTGCCAGCGCTGCCCCCTCCTTCCTGTGGCGCCGGCCGCCTCGGCTCCCATCCCGGCGGGCGGATGCGCCTCACGTCCGGCCCGGCACCCCGGCACCGGCGGAGGCTGCCGGCGAGGCCCACGGAACCGGGCTCCAAAACGGCTCAACGGGCCCCGGCCACACTGGCCTCCCCAGCAGCCGCGTGGAAAATCACCCTTTTTCCCACTAAAACCACCCAAGTGGGTGCCAAGCATATTCCGAGCCGCAGGGAAGCAGGGAAGCCAGGCCTGCTCCACCTGCGAGTGAAGGAGCTGGGATACGGCAACCAGAGCTCCGCTCATCCCAGCACCTTCCCGGGGGAGGTCGGAGCCGTTGGATGCTGCGGGGCCGCTCTCCCGCTCCGGTTAGCAGCTCCACGCGCAGGAAGCTGCTCCCGGCTGAGCCCTGCTTTCCATAAACACCGTTTTCCAGAGGAAACGCCTGTTTACCACTTTCCACCCAAAGAAACCCAAAGCCACCGAGGAGGCGTGTGTCGAGTGAGAGCCGCTCCGGTGGCTCGGCGCCGCTGGCAAGTGGATTTGCTGGCAAGTGGCTGGATTTGTTTGGAAATCAAGGATTTGACTGACGCAAAGCCATGAGGCCGCGAACCTTCCACTGGAAAATAGCTACGAATGCAGAGGGAGGTTAAATGTGGTCAGGAACCATTTTTTCCATGGTTCTGAGTGCCGGTGCCTGGCCGGCAGCGAGGAGGCGCGTGGCGAGGCCGGGAAGGGGCATTCCCAGGACGGGAACCCCCTTGGGACAGATGGTGACACTGGGAAGGGCGATGCATCCACCGATCCGCCATTGCTTAGCCCCACAGGGATGCGCGTTGGCCCTCCCGGTCCTGTCCCGGGGAGCCGTGCCCCCTTACCTGTGGGGCTGGCGGCCGCGGCGAGGCGCGCGAGGAGGACGATGAGGATGGCGGGCGCGAGGAAGGCGGCGGCGGGCGGCATGGCGGGCGAGCGGCACCGCGGCGCCGCGCTCTGCGCCCGCCGCCGCTTCCTGCCCCGCGGCGCCGCCCCACGCGCCCGGCCCGCCCCGCTGCCGTGGGTCCCGGGGCCTTGCACCGTGCCCCACTGCGGCCATGCCCCTCGCCCCATAGCAGTGCCCCTCGCGCGCCCCATAGCCCGCCCCGTGGTTGTCCCTCACGGAGCGTCCATCGCCCCATGTGTGACAGGGTGACCAGGCACATGGGGACGAGGGCTCGTGTTTTGTCCCTGTGCAGAGATGGGGGCTGGGGGGTGTTCTGCCCTGCTCAGTGGGGCAAGGTGGCTATGGGGTCCTTCATGGGGGGCAGCTATGGGGGGTCATCATAGGGGGATGGTAACAGGGGTGCTTATGGGGACAGTACTGGGGTAATGACATTGGGGCAGCAATGGGGGGTCGTTAGGGGGGTGGCCACACGGAGAGGGGCCAAGGGGGCTCCAACGTGGGGCACTAATGGGGCAGCCATGGGGAGCGGGGATGGAGACAGTCACGTGACATCCCCCACGGCGCAGGCGCACTGCGTCCGTCAGGGGGCGCCCGCCGCCGCCGCGCTCCCTTCGGGCAGTCCCGGCCATCTTCGACACTTTCCGCCTCCGCCTACACAGGCTCGGACCCTGCCGAAGGCGCTCGGGAATCTCCGCCCCACTTCGGCAGCCTCCGCCTCCCCTCGGCAGCCTCCGCCTCCCCTCGGCAGCCTCCGCCTTCATTCGTCACCCTCCGCCTTCCCTCGGCAATGTCCGCCTCCCCTTCGGCCGGCACTCGGGAGTCTCCGGCTGCCCTCGGCTGTCTCCGTGACAGCGTCGCGCCGCTCGGGCGTCTCCGGCGGCGCTCGGGCGGCCCCGGCGGCGCAGGGCGCAGGCGCGGGCGGCCCCGGCGGTCCTTGTTGTGGCCCGGCCGCCTGCGCCCGCCGGCCGGTGCGGGATGGCGGCTTTCGGTGTCCTCAGCTACGAGCACCGCCCGCTCAAGCGCCCGCGCCTCGGCCCGCCCGACGTCTACCCGCAGGACCCCAAGCAGAAGGAGGTGCGGCCCGGCCCGGGAGTGGGGGGACCCCGGGGCTGCCGCGGCCTGGTGTGGGCACCCCCCGGTTGGGCTCCTCTGTGGGGCGTCCGGGGTCCCCCTGACCCGCTGTGGGGCCGGGCGAATGGGCCCCCCGCTTGGGCTCCCCGGGTGCGGGCCCCCCGGCTGGGGGGGGACCCGGTGTCCCCCGTCCCGTGAGGGCCCCCCCCGGGTTGGGCCCCCCCGGGGAGGGGAATCCCCGAACCCCTCTGGCCGCATGTGGGGACCGATGAAGGGACCCGCTGGTTGAGCTGCTGGGGGGAAGGGGGATGGGGGGACCCCCTGTGCTGAGTTTGGGGCCTGGGGAACCCCCCTGGTTGAGCTCCCCAGGGGGACCTGGGGACCCCTGGACCTGGGGAGCCCTGAACCTCTGTTTGGGTTTGGGGCCTGGGGAAGGAACCCCCTGGTTGAACTCCCCAGGGGAGAGTTTTAGGGACCCCTGTGGCCGGGTTTGGGGCCTGGTTGAGGGACCCCTCGCACCCTCCCGGGCTGCTCTCCCCTGGGTGGGTGCACAGCCCTCCTGCCCGGTCATCAAATCCCCTCGCCAAGCCCACGTCCCGGGCACGGCATGGGGCCCGGGGCCTGGAGCGGCTCCTGCCGGGGCCTCCGCAGCCTCCCCGGCCCGGGCGGGTGGTCGGGGCAGGGGCCGCCTTGCCGGGCACCGCTGATCGTCTTTCTCCCGCAGGATGAGCTGACTGCTCTAAATGTCAAGCAAGGTTTCAATAACCAGCCGGCCGTCTCCGGGGATGAACACGGCAGCGCCAAAAATGTCAATTTTAATCCCGCCAAGGTGAGGGCCCCCTGAGCGCAGGGGTCTGCCGCAGCTCTGGGTCTCGTGCCTTCCTTGTGTTCGTAGCTAGGAGCTCTTTCTCTTTAGGATGGATAATTTAGGACGGAACCTTTGTCCCTAGAGAACTGGAGCTCTGCATTTATTTGCATTCTTCTGGAATGGTGTGGGAGCAGGTTCTTGTTTTGATAGGTGCACTGTTATGTCAAACCTGCCTTCTTTGTTAAACTTTACCTAGGAGTCCTTAGATTTTTGCAATTAAAACAGAAGACTGGAGTATCAGTAGCTGGAAAGTTCCTCCAAACTGGTTGGGTTATGTCTTTGAATAGAGGATTTCTTAGAACATCTGGTGGCTTAAACAAAGGAGTTATATAACAGACCTTAACTTCATCTTTCCTGTCTCTGAACTAAAGATTTCTCACATCCTCCTCTCCCTCGCAAGAGGAGTAATAGTAAAGTGGAATGGAAAGAAATCAGTAAGCACAATTCTGAAAGCAATTCTGTTTTCTTTGGCTGACGTCCATGCCATGGCCTTCTAGCTGGGTTGACTTATCTTTGTATAAAGACTTTTGTCCTTCTGAACTTGGGTTCTGCCCATTTATTGAAAACGTTCAGTCACCCCATATGATGTTACCCTGATATGTTACCTCTTTACAGATACAACAGAGGGAATTAGTGGCAGGTGCTTATGTTTCAAAAGCTCATGCTAATGAGAATCCTGGTAGGAAGGCCAGATAGAAAGGAGAGGGAGGATTTTAAGCATGTAGAATAGGCCTATGAGCTATAAAATATAATTTGTTGTTTTATTTTCGTGTCTTCCCCCCTTCAGATCAGCTCAAACTTTAGCAGTATTATCGCAGAGAAGCTGCGCTGTAATACGTTGCCGGACACAGGAAGACGGAAACCCCAGGTGAATCAGAAGGATAACTTCTGGCTGGTAACAGCACGTTCTCAGAGTGCCATAAACAACTGGTTCACGGATCTGGCTGGAACTAAGCCCCTCACTCACCTTGCCAAAAAGGTAGGTTACAGGGGAGGCTGCCTGGCAGCACGAGGTTGTTATCTCTGCTTATTTCTGAAATTTTCATTTTGTAGAAGGCTTTACTCTCGGGAGAAGTTTCTTCCTCACAAATCACTTGAAGCGTGTTCAGCTTGAAGAACAAATTCACAGGATCACAGAATGTTCAAGGTTGGAAGGGACCTCTGGAGACCATCTAGTCCAGCCTTCCTACTCAAGCAGGGACACCCAGAGCATGTGGCACAGGGTGGCATCCAGGCGGGTTTTGAAGACCTCCAGAGAAGGAGACTCCATAGTCTCCCTGGGCAGCCTGTTCCACTGCTGTCACCCTCACAGTAAAGAAGTTCCTCCTCATATGGAGATGGAACTTCTGTGTTTCAATTTATACCCATTTCCTCTGGTCCTATCACTGGACACCAATGAGAAGAGCATGACCCCTTCTCCCTACATTCCTCCTTCGCGTACTTACACATATTAATCAGATCCCATCTCAGCCTCTCTTCTCCAAGCTGAACAGGCCCAACTCACTCAGTCTCTCAAAATTCAGGACGTATTTTGCAATAGTTGTAGCCCCCTCCACCCAAAGAACTGGTTTCTGGTCAGTTATTTGAAGGTTGTCGTTTGGTTTTTATACTGTGGCTGACTTATTTTGAGGCTCTGATGTGTTTCAGAGGAGCTGAGTGCTGTTACCCTCAGCTGATCTGTTTAGATTAAAACCAGTCTTGTTGAGGGGAGATTCCAAGTTTTTAAAAGCTATAGTGTGAATTACTGGATATAAAAAGCCAAATAGCTTCCCAGGCTGTTGCAATGGCACATATTTTGTTTTTTAAAATAAGAAGTTTGTGTGATAGCCAGTTTGAGACCAAACTATGAAATGTTTCTGTGCCCTTCATTGGCTTAGACCCGGACGTTGCAGTCAGTAGCCACGGGTTCACGTAGCCAAACAGTCTGATTTGTGTCTTTGAGACATCGGAGCGTATCAGAATGTAAGAAACGTAGCAAGTGAGTGAATCAACAGTGCTTATTTTAGGGACTTCGTTTTCTATGATTTTTTTTTTTTTTACCTGATCCCTTTGTGAATCCATCTGTATCTTTGCTCTGTCTAGTATTCTATAGAAACAAGCTCCATACTTTACTCTTTCATGTGATGTGTTGTTGTTTTCTGTTTTATAAATTTGCAATCTGATACTGTGTCTTGAAATTTGAAGCTTGGGTTAATGAGTTTATTCCTAATGTAAATATTAAATTTTCTTTTCCTGACTCTGTTCTGTTGGCCACTTGTAATTTTATGACTCTGTAAACAAAACAGAATGGTTACAAAAATTGAGGCCTGTCTCTTCAGTTTGCACTCATGTAGAAGGTACTCAGAGCTTCTGATTCGAGCCTTAGTCTGTGCCTTTTTTCACTGCCCATATCCACTCTGGATAACCAGAGCTGCCTGCAGGCTTTAGGGTGTGGATTTACAGGGATGTAACTTATAAACTGAAAGAAACAAAAAAAAAAAATTCTTAACGCTTCTGGTTACATTGACCTGGAACTTTGGTTTTGTTGCTTTCTGACCCAGAATGGATTTTTGCAGAAGGTCTTTTGCAATACAGAGCAACATGGTGCTTTTTCCTTCTCTGCACAGTTCACAGAGCCTATAGGATGTGTGGTTGTTTTGGAATCCTTATCTAAGCCATTACTTGTTGTTTTCCCCCTCTCTGTCACTGCAGGTGCCCATCTTTAGCAAGAAGGAAGAGGTCTTTGGTTATTTGGCAAAATACACTGTCCCGGTGATGAGAGCAGCCTGGCTCATCAAAATGACTTGTGCCTATTACGCTGCCATCACAGAAACCAAGGTGAAAAAGCGGCATGTCATCGATCCCTTCATTGGTAAGCACCTTCCCTGGCACCCTGCTCTTGTTTGGCCTTGGAGTTCCTGTCTCGGGCTGGTCTTGAGTAGCGAGACAAAGACTGGAAAGCAACGTGAACTTATTTGCTGCTGAATAAAAACTGGAGTTTGGGTTTGTAGCTGTCTAAAGCAACAGGGCCCACTTGTGAGAGCGCTGTATGGAAAAGTACGTCTTGGTAGCAGGAAATACTTCCTTAGTGCCTACCTCTTT